AAAGGTTAAAAAACTCATTCAATTTTATGTCTTACAGGGCTTATACTGAGTTCAATATTGTATAACTGTATTAACTCAACTGTCAACCTAGAAACTTGCACCCACTTGCAAAAGAGATGTACTCTTGCTCTGGAGTGTGTTACTGAATATGTTAAATCTGTAGTGAAATGCTTCTGCTAATCATTTAGTTATTAAAAATTAAAAAATAATAATTAGTAGATGTGAAAAACATTACCATTGAAATCTACCTGCTGGCTTTATATCCTTGCTTAGCTGCCAAGGAGTTCAGAAAGTAACCGGCTGTCACTAGTAAATAATCAGATATATAGAGATTAGAAACGCATATGCAAACAGTGTCAATTGCATCAAAAATGAATTTTTCTGTAAAAAACAGTAAAGATATGTGGTGCGCTAATGCGGTAGTAAATTTTTCCTGTCTAGAAGTAGCATGGATCTCCACAGAACTTCTGGACCAGCTGCAGTCATGAGATCTCTGTAAGTCTGTCCACTTTTCTTTCTTTCAGAAAGGTGTAGTCTTCCCTTTTCTTCTTCATGACTTTCTTACTAAACATGCTTTCTTTAAGGCTTTGGGCTGCCCCTAGCATCTTGTATTTCTTTACTTTTTCTCTAAAGCTTCCTTCTCCCAGACATGTGGCTGTGAGTCAGCTACGTCTGACCTCCATGCAGGCTTTAAACCTGCATGGTTCCATGCCTTTCTTTCCTTCTTCCCACCATTCACCTCCTCAAGGAGGCTGCCAAGATTACCAGCTCACCTGCCCTAAGGATTTTTTCTATAAGATTCTAATAAAATTGTAAAAGCTTAAAAAGAAGTAAAGATATAAAATGTTTCTGTGTAGTAAAAAGAAATAGAGAATTAAATGGTACAAGTTTATTTCCCTGTATGATACTGGTTTTATATTTAATTTCACTGTCTTATTTCAGCATTCTTTTGTTTTTGGGTGAAGATAGATAAGATATACCATAAGTAGAGAGAATCTCTGATTTTCCACGGAAATAGCTTTGGCAACTTGTGGTCCCTTCATGATTAATTAGTTAAATATTGTTTAGATGGACTGGCAAGATGACCTCGCAGGTAAAAATGCTGCCAAGAGCAATGACTCAGGGCCCACGTGGCGCAAGGAGAGAACTGCCTGCTACAAGTTGCTTTCTGATCTCCATATATATACATGCCCTGGCATGCTGTGCCCACCCCCCAAAATAATAAAATATCTAGACATTTTTTAGTCTGTTTCTCTTTACTGGATAGTTGAAGCCATGATATTTAGAGTTGTTCTTGAAAGGGATGCATTGGTTACTGTTATTTTATTTTCTGTATGTGTTCTTTGTCTTTTCTTTCCATACTTTATACCTTCATTTGTTTTCTTTCTGTAATCTCTGTATATGGTCATTTCTCTGTCCTTTGTATTGCTTCAAGTATTCTCTGTATGGCTAGTTTGGTGGACATGAATTCTTACAGTCTACTTGGTTTTTTTTTGGGGGGGGAACTTTTTTTTGAGACAGGGTCTCCTTGTGGCCCCAGCTGGCCTGGAACTTGCTATGTAGACCAGGCTGACCTTGAACTCAAAGTGATCTGCCTGCCTCTGCCTCCTGAGTGCTGGGATTAAAGGCAAACACCACCACACCTGGCTTCCTTGTCTATTTTATCATGAAAGATTTTTCTTTCCCCCTCAACTGTGATAGTTTTGTTGGGTAAAGTATTGTGGCTTGGCATCTATGATCATTTAGAACTTCGAATACTTTGCTTGAGATTCTTCTGACTCACAGTTTGCATTGAAAAGTTATCTATAATTCTGATGGGTTTTCCTTTATATGTGACTTGTTTTTCTCTTGCAGCTGTCAGTATCCTCTCTTTGTTCTATAAATTTAGTGTTTTTACTATAGTATATCATGGGGTTGCTGTTCTGGTCTTGACTAATTGGTATTCTGTGTGCTTCTTGTATCTGTATATGCATGTCTTTCCTTAAGTTAGGGAAGCTTTTGTCTGTAATCCTATTGAAGATCTGATCAATGCCATTGACCAGAGATTCTTCTTTCTGCTTCCTTAAGCAGATTTGGTCTTTTCATGGTGTCTCACATTTATTGCATTCATTCTTGTGTTCTTAAAACAAATTTCATATTCTTTGCTTGAACAGTCCAGTTCTTCAAGTGTGCTATACTGCCTTGATATTGTTTTCCTTTTCATTCCTTCTACTTGTGAATCTTTCTCCTGTGAGTTCAAATTGGCTTATTGAGTTTTTCAATTCCATCTTCATTTTGGCTTGAGTTTTCTTCTATATTTCTATCTCTTTTTGAATTCACTTTCAATCCCTGAATTGTGTTTGCCATTTCATTCATCAATATATTCATATTTTCTTGAGTTTCAATCAGAAGTTTATTCTTATCCTCTTTGAGTTCTTCAAGTTGTTTGTTTTATGTTCTTTAAACTTGTTGAATTCTTTGATCATTTATGATTGTTCTTTTAAGTTCTGGGTCATTGAGTTTCTCTGGGTAGTTCTTATTATAGCACACATCTTTACGACAGGTAGGTTTTGATGGGGACATATTATCTTGGTTTTTCATAGTATTTGTGTTTTTTCACTGTTGGATGGGCATATGGATTTCTTTTGTTGGTTGTGTTTCTGATATGAAATTCTACTCCTCTTTTGTTGAGGTGAAGTTTGTTTCTCTTTATTTTGTTGATGTAGCTTAGCTGCTTTCTGGTTGGGTATGAATAGTAAGTTGTTTTTGTTTCAGTTTCTCACTTTTGATTTTTTATTGGTGGGACAGGATGATTCTAAGGTGGCTCATAAGAGTTCTTCTAGCAGGGCAAAGGGGCCTAGGTACACTTCAAGACCATAGGGATCCAGTGACTGAGTTCTGTCAGGCTACTCCAGAACTCTCCTGTGGCAGGAGGAGAAGGAAGGGGCCTAGGCCCAAGGTGGGAATGGGGACAGCATGCGAAGAGTCTAACTAGCTCAGCAGAGTAGATGTGAGCCTTGGTACAGGAGAATGGAGCTGGTTCTAGAGCAGGAGGATTAAGGCTTACGAGGCCTGTCTGGAGGCTTTAGGTTGGATAAGTATGAGGGAGCTTAAGCCCAAGATGTGGGTGGGGACAGTGTGGGGAGGGACTCAATATCAATAGTTTTTGTACTATATATGTACTATATGTACTATATTCCATTGGGTACAATATTATAACAAAAGATGCATTCCAGTTAGTAAAAAAAAAAACTCCCACTTTTCTCACACATAAAATACTAACATGAATGAAGGAAAGGAAGGGGCTGTAGAGATGGCTCAGTGGTTACAAGAACTGGGTGCTCTTGCAGAAGACCCAGGTTCAGTTTCCAGCACTCACATGGTGGTTAACAATCATCTACAACTCTACTTTTGGAGATATGACACCCTCTTCTGACCCCTGTGGGCATTGCATACATGTGGTGCACCTACATAAATGCAGGCAAAAGCACTTGTACACATAAAATAAATAAAAAAGTTTAAAATGTAAAGGAAGTGGAAATAAGGCATTCTCCTTAGAGACAAAACCAAATGAAAATAGTATGAGATTATTGGTACAGAAGAATTTCTACCTAGATTTCCTAATTCATGCAATGGATTGATAGATGCTGAAACCCCCCCATTTGACAGTTAAGCTGAAAAAAAGTAGTCTAAGTTTTATGTAAAAATTTTATTAACAGGGGACTGGAGAGATGGCTCAGTGGTTAAGAGCATTGACTGTTCTTGCAGAGGACTCGGGTTCAATTCTCAGCACCCATATGGCAGCTAAAAACCATAGTTCCAGTTCCAGGGGATTCAGTGCCCCCTTCTGACCTCTGTGGGCATTGCATGACATGGGTGCACTTACATACATGCAGGCAATACAGTCATACACATGAAATTTAGAAATCAGAAACTTTCTAACAAAACTTTAACAAAACTTAGAAATCAGAAGGAAGGTTGTTCTGTAGGTTAGCCTTGTCCTGAAATTTCCAAATACATATTATTTTTTATTTTTACTTTACCATTAATATTAATAAGTCCTTAGAGACAGGGATAACATGGACCAGTTGGATAATTAGGAGCTATGTGCATTGAGTCCCCAAGGTCATATGGGAAGTAATTAGCCAGTGCCTTTAGACCTGTACTTTACCAGTTCCAATACATTGCCTTTGTATCAGTGTCTCCTACCCTCTAGGACACCTTCATTAACTTGAACTTGTCTTGTTTTCAAATCCCAAGTATACAGCCTTGGTTTCAGTGAACACCAGGCAGGAAGAGGGCAAAGGGTCCATACTACTTGGTAATGTCCCAGGAGAGCCTCAATCAAGTCCAGTAAGTGCTGATGGAGATTGTGGAAGGTAGAGGGACTGTCAGGAGCATTGCTTCTTTGTCATCAAGTGCATGAATGTTGGGGAGGATTCCAAAATGTAGAGCATCAGCTAAGGACTAGGTTCATTTTCTTGATTCTGGGTTAAGTTCTAGGAGCTCTTAGAGACCTACTGTCTGTCCACATTGGTTCTCACTCCAGTAGACATGATCTTCAGGAGGGATCTTTTCTTGGCAGGAAGGATTGGTATGAAATTCTTTTAATTAGGTAAAGAAAGCTGCATCTAAAACCTCCTTCTGAGAGACTTCAGGTGCTAAATTTCTAATTTGTACATGCCATGGTTTATGACCAGAAAACCCCAAATATACTAGGAGTGGTATTTCCAGGGCACTATCAAATAGAGAAAAAAAAGCAGAGCAAAAAAAATGGTCTCACACACAGTGTGGTTGTATAGTGGTAATACAAGTTACTGTATAAAATAAAGTATTTCAGAAATAGTTTTTAAATTTCACTATTGTTTAATTATTTCAGATGCATTGTTCACTAATGCCATATATGTGTTCAGTACCATTTTATGATTATGTGCATATTTATCAAGGTGAAAGTTCATCAAAGTTAAGGCCAGGAATTAAACAGCTGTTTAAAGACATTCATGTTTTTTAAATGATCCCTTATTTTCAGGGTGGAATTAAGTCAGAAAATCAAAGAATTGTGAAACTCCATCAATTAAACTGGCAAATAAAAATTCTCTGAGGTTATGAGCTTTCAAATGTATTTTGAATCTCAATAATGTGGTCTTTAGTTTTATAGAATATAAATAGTCTATATCAAGAAAATTGGTACCATCATCTTGAATAAAAGAACATTTTGATAGTTTCTTAATTTCCTTTAGTTAGAATGATTATTTTAGTATGAGAGAGATATTTAGTTTCTCACCCCCCCAGAATGTGTATGTTGTATTGTAATATGATCAAAGACCATATGATCATATGATCCATAACATTCTTCCTTAGAGTGTCTCTAGTGTGAGTATAGAAAGATGCAAAAACACAAAATCAATGGGAAACCATCCTAGGAATAGTGAGTTTGAAATACAAACCTTTAGACTAGTGATGCTAACAGCCTTGGCCAGAGAAGCTTTTTAAAAAATGTTTTAATTGAATTTTTGTGATTTTAATGATATATTTTGATAACATTTAGGTCCCCTTCCATATCCACACTTCCCCTTACTGCCTTTGTGAAATGTAATGTACTCTATTACATATACAATAAGGCCTTTGGATTCTAATTTGTGTCCCCAAATGCTCTTCAGTTGGGTCCATCTACTGGAGCCTGTTTTTCCTAAGAGTATCACATCCTTAAAGAAATCTGACTCTTCCCCTCCCAGAAGCTCTTGGTTGCCAAGCTCCTTGTCTAAGGCTGGGGAGTCCTACCCAGTTCCCCAAGACTGCTGAGATTTGTCTGACTTGAGCTTATATGGGACTTGTGTATGCTGTCACCTTTGCTGTGATATGAATAACTACCCAGCTGTCTAGAAAACTGTTTCCTTGTGGTCATCTACCACCTCTGGCTCTTACAACCTTTCTGTCCCCTCTTCCACAATGATCCCCAAGCTGTTGGAGGCAGAGGTTTAATATAGGTGTCCTATTCATGGGTAAGCACTCTTCAGTTTCTTATTCTCTGCACATTGACCAGTTGTGGGTCTTTGTGTTAATTATCATCTGCTTCATGAGGAAGCTAAGAGAAATGTAATGGTTACTCAGCAATGGGTAATGGTTCACTCAGACTCATAATGGTCCAAGTGCTAGAGTTAGTGACTGCTGAGTGTTCAGCCCTAAATGTGACATCTATGTAACATCTTCCACCTCCCATGGAGCATCATATAAGAGGGGTGGAAAGAATGTGAGGGCTAGAGGCTGGGGAGGAGTGCTAGGTAAGGCTGTATTCTGGATGTGACATGAGCATTGTAATCGTGAACTCAGCAGCTGTGACCACCCTCAGGAGACCTGCACATGAAATGAAGAGGAGGAGTTTGGAAGAAGAAGGGGGTCAGCACAGGTGGGAGAGGGACAAATGAGGATAATGAGGTGTATATATTCACAATACATTTTATACATGTATGAAACTGTCAAAAATTTAATAAAAATAGTGAGTTTGCAACAAATCAGAAACATTGCCAAGAGTGTTTGGTCATGTGAGAACTTCATAAGACAATATTTTTAATTCAAAATACAGACATAGTGTTGAGTGATGCTAAACTGCCATTTTTTCTTTCTTTTCATTTTCAAAAGTTGTTCAAGTGATACAGAACTACAAAACCTAACACACTTCTTAGAATTCCATCACATGGCTCTCTCATGGCTCTCTCAGATGATCCAGAGATGCAGCCCTTCCTCTTTGGATTGTTCCTGTCTATGTACCTGGTCACAGTGCTTGGGAACCTGCTCATCATCCTGGCTGTCAGCTTTGACTCTCATCTCCACACCCCCATGTATTTCTTCCTCTCCAACCTGTCCTTGGATGACATCTGTTTCATCTCCACAACAGTCCCCAAGGTGGCTGTGGACATCAAAATTCACAGAAGAGAGATTTTCTATGTGAACTGCCTGACACAGATGTCATTTTTGATCCTTTTTGGATGCATGGATGCTAAGCTTCTGACTGTGATGACCTATGACTGGTTTGAGGCCATCTGTCACCCCCTGTATTACTCAGTCATCATGAACCCTCACTTCTTTGGCTTCTTAGTTTCCACGTCTTTTTTAGTTAGTCTTGTGGATTACAAGGCACACAACCTGATTGCCTTGCAAATCATCTACTTCAAGGATGTGGAAATTTCCAATTTCTTTTGTGACCCTGCACAACTCCTTAATCTTGCTTGCTCTGATACATTCATTAATAACATAGTAATGTATTTTGTTGATGTCATATCTGGTTTTCTTCCTATCTCTGGAATCTTCTCTTATTACAAAATTGTTTCCTCATTTCTGAGCGTCCCATCATTAGGTGGGAGATGTAAAGCCTTCTTCACCTGTGGTTCTTACCCATCAGTTGTTTGCTTATTTTACGGAACAGCCATTGGAGTGTATCTTGGTTCAGCGGTGTCACATTCCCCCAGAAAAAGTGCAGTGGCTTCACTGATATACACTGTGATGACCCCTATGTTGAATCCCTTCATCTACAGCCTGAGGAACAGGGACATTAAAAGTGCTGTGAGGAAGCTCCACAGCAGAACAGTGTCATTTCTGGGCCTGTGGTATTCCATTTGTAATGCAGATTGGTAAGTACCAGAACAAAGCACCTAAACTTGTGCACCCTACCCACAGTCAGTTTTGGATTTTGATAACTTTAATTCCATCTCACATTTCATAATAGAATAGTAGTAAAGTTGTAGGGAGGGAGGAAGGGGCATTTAAAAATGAGTACAAATTATCAGTTTGTGGAGATGAGAACGTTATGGAGATGGATGTTTGCTGCATAACAACATGAATGTTACTAATACCAGTGAACAGAACATATTACAATTGTTAATGTGCTTAATTTTATATATCATGAATATTTTACCACTACAAACCATGCCAATAAAAAACATATAGGCAGACTGAAGAGATGGCTCAATGGTTAAGAGAACTGGCTGTTCTTGTAGAGGACTCAGGTTTGATTCCCAGGACCCACAAGGCGGCTAACAACGTCTGTAATTTCTGTTCTAGGGATCTGATGCCCTCTTCTGGCCTCTGTAGGAATTGCATACACATTGTGCATGTAAATGCAGGGAAAACACATACCCATAAAATAATAAATGTTAATTAAAAATAAAAACCCATATAGGCATTAGAAAAATAAAAGCATGAAAAAATGAACATTATACATGAGCTACTAACGAGTTGAGAGGAGGCCTAAACCTTCATAAATATCCATTTTCTACTTTTCTTCTTCTTCAGTTATCATTAGGAAGTCTTTAGAAATTGGGAAGACATGGATCAAATGGGTAATTACAATAAATTGATCCTCCAAGCTCACATAATAGTTAATGATAAGTCTTTTCTCCCATCTCTTCAGCCCACCCATAGTCACTGCTAGCTTTTGCCCATGCCTCAGGGGCCAGCAGTCTTGCCCCAGGTCCATAAGCGCCAGGCCATTCTGTTCTTGAGCGCACCTGGCCGCTGTGCCCCCTTCATATTTGAAGCTCTGGTTTAAGAGGGCACCACAAGCCCCTCCTTCAGCAGCTAACTCTCCACAGCCCATTTTCTGCAGCAGGCCCCGCCCCTTGGAGGAAACAGGCAGCTTAGGACACACAAATGTTGTGAGCTCTTTGCTTGAAAGAATATGGTTTCAGTTGATGATGGTCCTGACTCAGTGATGTCTGTGAGTGACACTATGGCATACCCTACCCTGCAGGACCCTGTTGGAGTGAGAGTTGAACTTCCATCCACAAACCAATTCAGGGTTGGGTTTGGTATGGGCTCTAGGGAGATTAGGGGTTCTGGGTAGGAGAGTTCCTGAAGGGTTTCCAGGCATGAGTGAGTGAGAAGCTCAGTGGAAGGGAGGAGGGAGGTGAGATTTAGAGGAGGGCAGGAGTCAAGGGTGAGTGAGGTGTTTTCAAGAAAAGTGGAGTGAAAAAGTTGCAACTTGGAGGAGATAAATTGGCAAGAGACATGTGGGCTAGTAAATACTTAAGCCTCTGGGGGAAGAGGACAGAGATGGGCTGACCCAGAGTGAACTTAAGCCCCTCCTGAGCTAGGAGGGCTGCAGCAACCAAAACATGGAGACAAGGTTGCCATCCCTGGATGGTGGTATCCAGCTGTTTAGAAAGATAAGCTACTGGGGCAAAAGTGGGTCCCTTCATCTGTCCCCAAACCCTCAATACCAAGTCCTTATTCTCAGTCATATAGGGGAGAAATGGAGATTCCAGGTCAGGGAGAGCTAGAGCCAGTGCCTTTAAGAGGGCTTCCCTGATAGTGTGGAAGGCTATTGCTATTGGCCCTAGAGGCTTGATGGGCTCAGGGGAGTCTCCTTTGGAGGCTTCATAGAGGGACTTTGCTAGAAGGGCAAAGTTAGGAATCCAGATGCACAGGTACCCTGCAATGCCCAGGAAGGACAGAATTTCCTCCCTGGTTGTGGGGGGCTTTAAAGACCTAAGGTAATTTGTTCTAGCTATAGTTAAGCAGAGGGTTGTAGGTGTGAGAAGGAACCCCAGGTACTTGACTTGAGGGAGAGAAAGCTGTGCCTTAGACAGAGACACCCTATAACCCCTGTACCTTAGAAAATTGAGGAGTTTGTGTGAGTCTTGGAGTCTGAGAGGGATGGAGAGAAAAGAAGTAGGTCATCTACATACTGTAGAATGGTGGCGGGGTTAAGGTCTAGGGAGGTTAGATCCTGGGCTAGAGCCTGTCCAAAGAGGTGAAGGCTATTTCAAAACCCCTGGGGCAGGACAGTCAAGGTTAGTTGGGAAGCAATTCCAGTGTCAGGGTCCTCCTAGGTGAATGCAAAGAGGCCATGAGAGTCAGGATGTAAGGGTGTTGGAAGAAAGCATCCTTAAGATCTAAGACAGTAAATTGAGTGATGGAGGAGAAGATATGAGAAAGGAAAGTATAGGAGTTGTGAACAGCTGGATGAATGGGAACAACTGCCATGTTAATGATTTGGAGGTCCTGGATCAAATGGTAGGAACCATTGGGTTTGAGTACAGGGAGAATGGGAGTGTTGTAGGGTGAGTGAGTAGGTTTAAGGAGGTCAGCTCCATGGCAGTGTTTAAGTGTGATTGGGTATTGGGGCCTACTGGGAAATAGGGAGGGGTCCTTCAAGGAGATGTGGATAGGAGTGTGATGAGAGGCTAGTCCTGGAGCTGAGGTATCCCAGACCTTGGGATCAACCTCGGAAGGGGGAAGTGGTTATGACCTGGCTTTAGGGGGAGGAGGTACAGGGGAAAGGGGGAAAAGTGTGGAGAAGGGGAGAGAAATAGACAGGGAGATCTTTTGCATGAAATCTCTGCCAAGTAAGGGAGCTGGACATACATGTGGGCATAACCAGAAAAGAGTGAGTTAAAGGCACCTTCCAGAATATGCAGGATAAGGGTCCTGTTGACTTGGGATTGTAGGGCCTATGGAAATCTATGAGGGGAAAACTTTATCAGAGTAGGAAGGGAGAACATACCATGAAGTGCTGGTGTCCAAAACAAAATTAACAGTCTTATCTGCCACCATGGCTGCTACCCTGGGCTCCTCCATGGTGATAGTCATTGAGGAGGTAGGGGCTGAGGAGCCAGGGCCTCATCAGTCTTCAGCCCCCAGGTCCAGAAGGTCATTCACTGAACCCTGTAAAGCAGGCTGGGTCTGGGAAGTGAGTGGCCTACCTTGGGGCTGCAAAGAAGGATAATCAACTCTCCAGTGACCTCATTGCCCATATTGAGGACAGGGACCAGGAGGCAGTCACGGGTTGGGCATTGCTTTGCCCAGTGTCTGGTGGATCCATATTTGAACCAGGGTTCTGGTGGCGGTCATTGGGCCCCATTGGTGTCCATGGTCTTGTTGGGAGGAGCCCTTAGGATTGTGGCCATTAGCTGGTACTTTTGTTAGGACAGGGTGAGTTTGTATGCCTTCTCCTCTTCCTCCTGGTTATTAAAGACCTTAAATGCCATGTCTAACAGATCTCCCATGGGGGTCTCTGGGGCCTTGTCTAAACATCTAAGTTTCCATCTTATGTCTGTGGCTGATTGTAAAATAGAGTGTGATTGAGCATAAGCCATCCCTCTCTGGACTCTGGGCCATAATTGGTGTACTGAACCAGGGCGTCAGTAAGTCTGTCCATAAACTGAACCATGGTTTCAGTAGAGCCTTGAGTAATCAACCTAAGCTTTTCAAAGTTAACCACCTTAGGGGGCAAAGCTCTCTGAAGACCTGTTAGGAGGCAAGTGATCATGTGGTCCCTGGATGCTCTACCTGGGGGAAGGTCCTGCCTGATTACCTGATGGGAGTTGGTAATTCCACCCAGGGTCCTGAAGAGGAACTGCCTTGGCTCCAATAGGGTGAATCTGGTTAGTGGAATGAATATCATTAGCATACTCCTGTGCTGCTGTCCAGACCCTATGTCTCTCATTAGGGGTGAGGGTGGACTGGAGAATCATAAAGAGATCATGCTAGGTCAGGTCATAGCTACAGGTGATGTATTTGCATTCTTGTATGAAGTGTGTGGGTTCAGTAGGAAAAGAGCCTATTCTGCACTTGAGCTTGGATAGGTTGCCAAGGGAAAAAGGGACATGGACCTTAACAACTCCCTCTACCCATGCCACCTCCCACAGGGGAAAGACAACATGAGTAGGGGACTGAGACTGGGCATGGGAGCAAGTATGACAAGACATGGGAGATGGGTTGGAGTCAGGTAGAGGAGGAAGAGAAGAGGAGGCTGAGAAGGAGGCTGGAGTGGGGGAACTGGGAGGGGTATCCTGTCCACAAGAGGGCACAGGTGTGCCAGGATCAGGGTCTGAGGTTGAGGAGGGAGTAGAAGTAGATATAGGAGAGATAAATGGGTTTTTGGAACTAGAGGTTGGAATTGGAGAGAGTATTGGGTGTTTGTTAAGGAGTTAAGATTGTGGATTTCCTCGAGTAAAGTAAGGTTGGGAGTGAGAGAGGGAGTGAGAGGCTTAGACCGGTGGGGTGGAGGAGAGGGGGAAGACCAAGAAGAGGGGGTTTAAGCCAGAGAAGGGAGGGGAGCTTGGGCTCAGAGAGTGGAGGCAAGGGAGGATATAGCAAAGGGAGAGTGGGGATGGGGGAGGAGTCAGCTGTGCCTCAGGTTGAGGGGCAGGAAGGGATTGAGGTTGAGTTCTAATTGGGGAAAGCTTGAGGGCTATGTTGGGATCAAAGGCTGAGGTAGAGGAGTAGGGAGGGGGAGCGGTGGGTTCACAGGGCATAGGAGTCGATGGGTTGGGATCCTGTGGAACAGTCTTGGTGAGGAGAACTTGATGGGAGGAACAAGAGGCACAGAGGGAGGGATTAGCATGGAGATCAAAAAAAGCTTGGACATTGGGAGCTCAAACCTTTTGCCACAATGTGACAGAAATTATCCAAATCTCTCAAAATATTGAAGTCTAAGGTTCCAGTGTCTGGTCAAACAGAATTATTGTCTAACTTGTACTGGGGCCAGGCAGTGGTGCTTTAGCCTGACTGTATCTGAAAGTACTAGTTGTTTTAGGGACTTAAGAAGACAAGCAAGAGGCATGAGGCCCTCAGGCTTAGTCTGAGCTGTCCCCATAGTGACAAATTATATATAGAGTGCAGAAGATATAGAG